CTTTGTCAGAGCATTTAAAGGGCCAGAACCAGTCTAATAAAATCCACTATGCCCAAAATCCTGTATTTAAAGGGCAAAATCTTCCAGGGGCCATAGTCGCAGGGCAGGAGGCTGGCAATTAGTCCTCTCCAGGCACAAGTGGCGAAGGGCACTTCGTCTCAAGCAGTTTCTGAGAAACTGCTATGTTTACATCTGGGGTTAAGCCAGCCTCTAGTGGCTGTCTTCCGGACAGGCACTAGAGACGCATCGACAATGATTGAGGCATATTATGCCTCAATCACGCAGAGCGTCCATAGGAAAGCATTGAAAAATGCTTTCCTATGGACACTTTGAATGCGCGTGCGGCAGTGCCGCGCATGCACGTTCGGCGCTGGTGACGTCAGACAAGGATGCTGACGTCTGTGGGGGAGGAGAGGTAAGGGAGCCCGGCGGGGGAAAAGGGTGAGTAGCTGAAGGAGTTTTAACTCCTTCAGCGCCGCGGGAGGGGGACCCTGAGGGTGGGGGCACCCTCAGGGTACTATAGTGTTCCTTTAATAGCCATAAAAGAAAACAAAATTGCTACACAAAAGTATATATTTATATAATGTAAACATCACAAGATATTGAGGTTGTTTTGACACTTTCTACGTAGCTATTTCACTGCCAATCTCTGCTAAATATTGGAGTAAAATTGTGTTTTGGGGGGTTTTTCGCACACAAACTTATAACAAAGAAATTCTCATGTGTATTCTGTAAAGTTGGTGTGTGCTATTCCTGTACAAAACTTTATTTTGTGTTCAGCTACATCTGCTGAGTAAAATGACACCCCCATTGTATGTCTTTTGCACTATTTCGTGAAGTTACAGTGCCATACAGGATACCTGTCCTTTTCAGTATTCACAGTAGAATTTTGAGAGATGGATTTAATGAGCCTTAGCTTCCATTTGGGGTATTATAACAGTTTGACTGTTCAAAAAACCCCACAAAGGCCTACCATTTGTAAAAGTAGACACTCCAGGGTATCTTATAAGGTGCATATTGTGCCTTAACATGCCCCCATTTTTTCACCAATATACGCCAAAGTATGTGGTAAAAAATTATTTTTTACATACGGATTGCATTTTTGCTGGGCGTTTTGTATATTTCATATGTGCCACTAAGTTCATTCCTCCTAAATTATGCTCAGCTAAGTCTTCTGAGTAAAACAATATGCCCAATGTATAACCTAGACACTATTTTGTGAAGTTACAGTTCTGTAAAAGAGACGTGACAAGTTCAGGTTTTTTTTTTTTTCTTTTTTTTTTTTCCCTTTTTAAAGAATTCTTTATTTTCAAGGTTTCAACTGTAAACATGGGGTACAGAATAAAGAAAAGGGGAAGGGGTACAAGTGCAATCCTTATAATCGGGTGAGTTACAGCTTGATTTTACAGGATTAGGGGTAAAGAGTGGGATACCATTGTGGTTGGCGTGTCGGTTGTCGTTGGTAATTGTATTGTGCGCTGGCGTCGAGGGGGTGGGCTGTAAGTCGGTGGCTTTGTGTATGGGTTGGTGCTTTGTACGTCTGGGGGGTTTGCAGAGATGGGTAAGGTGGGTGAAGGAAGGGGGGTTGCGTTGC